ATATTTCCCTAAGAGTGCTTGAGGCTAAGGATGCTCTTAATAACTGCCAAAAGAATCTTGATTCTAATCCCTCAGATGAACTACTAAGGGCCAGAGAAAAAGATTTACTCCAGAGCTACAATGATGTTGCAGCAGCTGAGGAATCTTTCTTCATCCAAAAATCTAGAATTAACTGGCTTAAAGAGGGGGATGGTAATACTACCTTCTTCATGAAGTTTCAACAACAGGTGTAATAAGAAAAAAATTGTTAGCTTACAACTCTCTAATGGTACTACTACTACAAATGCCCAAATGATTAAGGAGGAGGCTCTCAATTATTTCAAATCCATTTTTGGTGGGGAAACCAGCAGCTACTCAGGTTTGGATGCTCTTAGACTTGTTTGCATGAAGACTATCCCAGAAAGCTTCATGGCTCAATTAAGCTCCATCCCTACTAATGATGAAATTATGAAGTGTTTTTTCTCTCTTAAGAATAACAAGTCTCCGGGGCCTGATGGGTATAATGCTTATTTCTACAAAAAAGCTTGGTCTGTTATTGGTGTTGATATTGTCAAGGCTGTCAAAGATTTCTTCTTTACTGGTCTTTTGCTTAAGGAGATTAATGCTACTTATTTAACGTTCATCCCCAAGGTGCAAAATCCTATCAGTATGAATGATTTCAGGTCCATTGCTTGTTGCAACACTATTTATAAAGTGATCTCTAAGTTACTGGCTAATAAGCTTAAGCCTGTTTTTCCCTACTTTGTGGACAAAAGTCAAACTACCTTTATTAAGGGTAGAAGATTAGGGGATAGTGTGTTTTTGGCTCAGGATTTGATGAAAGGGTATCATTCTAGCTCCAACAGCCCTAGATGCATACTGAAGGTTGACTTGAAGAAAGCTTATGATACTGTTAAATGGACTTTTCTGCTGGACACTTTTCTAATCCTTAACTTTCCTCCTATTTTTGTTAACTGGATCAGAGCCTGTATTACAAGCCCTGGGTTTTCAGTCTCTCTCAATGGTGAACTCTATGGTTTTTTTAAGGGTTCTAGAGGCTTGAGGCAAGGTGATCCTCTTTCCCCTTACCTATTTGTTATTGCGATGGATGTCTTATCTTCTATCACTCAGCATGCTATAAGTAATGATCATAATTTCTTGTACCACTGGAAGTGTAAGAAGACTAAGTTATCTCATTTAATGTTTGCTGATGACCTTATGTTCTACTGCCATGGTGATGTTCAGTCCTTCTCTGTCATTACTAAGTCCCTTGTAACATTCTCTAAGCTTTCTGGGCTTTTTCCTAATCTCTCTAAGAGCTTAGTGTTTACTGCCAATGTGCCTAAAGACATTCAGCATCAATTGATTAACCTGTGTGGCTTTGAGTTGGGGAGACTTCCTATCAGATACTTAGGGATGCCCCTAAACTCCATGAGACTCAATGCTATAGATTGTAGAATTTTAGTTGAAAGAGTCACAGCTAGAATCAAGTGTTAGACATCTAGATTCCTTTCGTATACAGGCAGGCTGCAGCTCATAAAATCTATACTTCTCAACATGATTAGCTTCTGGTGTGGTCTATCAATCATTCCTAAAATGATTATTAACCAACTTAACAATGTGCTAAGGAACTTCCTTTGGACTAGTGTGGATTTGAAAGCTACTGGTGCTCAAGTTGCCTGGTGGAATGTGTGCAAGCCTAAAGACTTTGGGGGTATAGGAATACCTCACTTAGTTGCCCTTAACCGTATCTCCATGCTGAGACATATCTGGAACTTGTTCAAAGATGAAGGTCAATCTATTTGGTTCGAATGGGCTCATGAAAACCTTATCAAGGGTCGCAGTTTCTAAATTCTGAGGCCCCCTCAGGTGTGTTCCTGGAATTGGAGGATGCTCCTCCATCTGAGAGGTTTTGTTAGACCTTTTATCAAGCACTTGGTAGGGAATGGGAAGGATGTTTCTTTGTGGCATGACTACTGGCTCCCGTTAGGTCCTCTTGACTCCAGAATTGATCACAAACTCATTGCTGGCTCTCAATGGGAAGATTGGGTGAAAGTCCAGAGATTGATCAGGCATGAGCAACGGAGACTTCCTCGGCTCTTTAGAGAATTAGTTCCTTCCATTGAGACTACTGAGTGCCTTCCTGACCTGAGTATTGGATCTCAAGACTCTGTTGTTTAGACTCTTTCCTCTACGGGTAATTTTCATTTTGTTACTACCTATAGAGCTCTCATTTCTCCATCTCCGGTTGTCCCTTGGCACTCGATTGTCTGGTTTTCTAAGCATATTCCGCGATTCTTCTTCATTACATGGGTCACTCTGTCTCATAGGCTCAAGACAAGGGACAGCCCTACTCTTGTAAAGAAAATTGTCCCCAACTATTGCTCGTTATGTCTTACTGCAGTTGAAACTCATTATCATATTTTCTTCAAATGCCAGTTCGCTTATGAGATTTGGATGGTTTTCTAACACCTATGTGGTATCTATGTTGGAGACAATAACTTATTTGAGATCACTAATTGGATCATGTAAATGTGGACGGATGGTACCAAGGCTTCAGAAGCATATGTTTTCAAATTATGCCTTACAACTTTAGTTTACTTCATTTGAAATGAGAGAAATAGACGGCATGCTTTGAATCAATCAGCTTCCACTGCTGCAGTCACTAAACTCATTTACAATAGTGTGAGGAATCGTCTTATGTCTTACAAGTTGAAGAATTCGAGGTCTGCGAGGTCTATTGTTACTGCATGGAGTTTGCCTTCATGGTGATCCTTGATGGTTGGCCTTGTTTTGCCTTTGTTTCTGCTTGTATTTGTTCCCGGTGGCTGTTGCATCGTTTTCTTTTGTTCCTGGGCTGGGCTGTTTGTAGCCTTCTTGGGTTGTAGCCTTTGGGTCGTGGGCTTTTTGCCCTTCCTTGTATAGCTTGGCTTTTCCTTTTAATAAATTTATTTACCGAAAAAAAAAGAAGAAAAAAGTTAGGCAATTATTAAATAAAATAATTTATCAAATAATAAAAAAATTATCAATTAAAATTAAATAGGTAATTGTTTAATTGAAATTCAGTCAATATGTTTTAAATCATAAAATAAATTTATAATTAAAATTAAATAGGTAATTATTTAATTAAAATTCAATCAAGATGTTTCAAATTATTTATAGATAAAATAATAAAATAATTTACCAAATAATAAAATAGGTTACCAATTAAAATAAATCTTATAAGTTACCAATTAAAATAATTCCTATTATTCATGAAATTCTTCAATAATTATTTATTAATATAAAAAAAATAATTGATATAAAATGAATAAAATTAAAAGAGTTTCTTTAAATAAAATGAATTAAAATAAAATAGATTCTATAAATAAAATGAATTAAAATAAAAGAGTTTCTATAAAACTATTAAAATAACTAAAACAAGTTACAATATTTCAAATCATTTATAGATAAAAAAATAAAATAATTTACCAAATAATAAAATAAGTTATCAATTAAAATAAATCCTATTATACGTAGAATTCTTCGATATTTATTTATTAATATAAAAAATATTTATTAATTGATATAAAATGAATAAAATATGTAATTATTTAATAATGTAATTTACCAAATAATAAAACAAATTACCAATTAAAATTAAATAGGTAATTTTTTAATTGAAATTCAATCAATATGTTTCAAATCATTTATAGATAAAAAGAATAAAATAATTTACCAAATAATAAAATAAGTTACCAATTAAAATAAATCCTATAAGTTACCAATTAAAATAAATCATATTATGCTTAGAATTATTCAGTATTTATTTATTAATATAAAAAAATATTTATTAATCGATATAAAATGAATAAAAATAAAAGAATTTCTATAAATAAAATGAATTAAAATAAAAGAGTTTCTATAAACTATTAAAACAACCAAAACAAGTTACGATGTTTCAAATAATTTATAGATAAAATAATAGAATAAGTTATTAATTAAAATAAATCATATAAGTTACAGATTAAAACAAATCATATTATGCTTGGAATTCTTCATTATTAATTTGTTAATATAAAAAAACATTTATTAATTGATATAAAATGAATTAAAATAAAAGAGTTTCTATAAATAAAATGAATTAAAATTAAAGAGTTTCTATAAAACTATTAAAATAACTAAAACAAGTTACGTATTAAATTAAAATAGGTAATTATTTAATAAAATAATTCACCAAATTATTAATTAAAATTAAATAGGTAATTGTTTAATTGAAATTCAATTAAATTATGCTTGGAATTCTATAAGGTTAAAACGACTTTATTTTGATTGATCTGGTTCAAAATTATTTATTTAATTACAGGTACATTATTTCAATTTTTTTTTAATTAGGTTTTATTCTTTGAATGGCATTAATCATGTTATTTATTATTATTATTATTTGTGTTTGTTTAATTATGTCAGGTCACCATTTATTTTTTAAAATTTATCTTAATTTATTTTGATTGATCTGTTTTGCTGTATGGTTCAAAATTCTTTATTTTATTATAAATACATTATGTTTTCTTTCAACTTTGGTAGTAATTTCTTTGAATTGCATAGATTTTTTCTTTTGAATGACTCCTTTTCTTTTTTTTAAATATCTTAATTTATTTTAATTAATCTGTTTCGTAGCCTGATTCAAAATTATTTGTTTTATTAGTTATTACAGGTACTTTATTATTTGAATTGCATTAATCAAGTTGATTTATTTTTTACTTTTATTTTTATTTTTTGTGTTTGGTAATCTTGACAACACATTTCGCTTTATAAAATATTTGAAATTTTAATTATTAAAACAAGTTACTAATTAATTATTTTAAAAAATGAATTTATTTTGATAATTTTTATATAAATTTTTTAATTAAGATTATAAAATAAATTTTCATCGCACTTAATTTCTTAAAACGAAAGATGTTGCCAAACATTTTTTACACATTTCTGCTTATGAAATTCCCACCATAAATTTGCGTCCAAACTCAATTAAAATTTGTAGCATGAACCAGGACGTAGCATGGGCGTGTGTGAACTGGGCCGGTTATTTTAGATATTGGCCAAGATTGTTGCTTGTTCACCTCTATATATATCACACACTAGTACAGACGGCTGCTAAAGCTACAAATTAATTGAAGCTGGTTTAGAGAGAAGGTGCAGAAGGAAAACCTAACCCTAATCGAAGAACCCTCGCGTTGTTGTTTGTTCACCTCAATATATACACACAGGTGAGAAACGTTCGATATTCGTTCAATATGTTCAATTTGTATATTGCGATCGCCTTGTGTTACTGGACTTTTATTATTTTCCGAATCTTGATTTGATTGATCATCTAAGCTTCTCGATTGTCTTTTTTCTTGTTTCATTATTTTCGTTCTCTTATAGTAGTTGACGTACTGATTTGGGACAAAAAGAGAGGGTATAATTTGGTTTTTATTTTCCCTTTGAGCTTTTCGTCTTTCTGAATCATGTCTCTAAAATGTTTCATAGGATTGAAACTGTGTCTCGAATCTTGAAATTAGAGGGAAAATAGTTTATAGTTTGATTGATATTGTCTTCAATTTCAATTCCAATTTCAAGACGTTGAAATTAGACGCCCATTCTTTCAAGCTCTCTATTGGTGTCACCACATGCCGAGAAAAGAAAGAAAAAGAAAAAGAAAAAGAAAAATTATATTGTTTCTTGTAGTCACTTAAAAATGATCCAATGTATAAACAAATGTTTACCACCTTAAACCTGTGGATTATTTAAGTAGAAAATATGTAAAATTGTTTCATGTAGTTTCACTTTAAAATGATCTAATTTACAAATGTATTTTCATGGTTTCGTATGAAAATTTAACTGTATGTGACAGTACTGACAGTGTGTGCTGCGTTACTTTATATGAGATAGGTCCAACTATGGAAATGCTCAGAGAGTACGATATCATCGAGTTCTCCCATGCGGAGTTAGATGATTTGACCAGTAATTTTAGCCAAGCAAATCTGATTGGAGAAGCCCAATTCGGCAAAGTGTATCGAGGAAAGACTCAGCAAGGTCAGGATGTGACTGTGAAGATTTGGGAAGATTTAGGAAAATTTGCTGTAGGCCGGGATGAACACCGTTCCCAATTGGCGGTAGTAACAGTATTTCATTAGTTTAGTGTCTGAAATTTCAATTTTGAAATTTGATGGTTATAGATGTTGTTCCTGTCATTGTTGAATGTTGTGTTTCAATTTTCCCAGAAAGAATGCATTTTTCTAATGGAGTCAAGTGTAAATCATCATCCGAGTCTGGTCAAACTTTTGGGATATTGCTGCGAAGATAGTCTGTTGGGGGTTGTTTATGACCTTAAACCAGTGGATACAGTGCACAACCTCATTGATAATGGTATTACATATTTTCTTTCTTTGATTAATCTGTTACAACTTGACTTTTCTAATCATACATCAATCTGTTGAGCATGCACGTCATGTTTTCAGTATATGTTGGGAGAGAGGGAAAATGAATCTTACAAAGTGACAACTATAATTACAAGACCAACTGATTTTCCATATTAGTGTTCAGTGATAACATTTACTACTTTGGCTTGCTATACTGAATCTTAAATCTGCTCCTAAACTGATTATTTTAGTAAATCATTGTTTAGTTTGTTGGATAATCTCTCTCTCCATCTCTATCTCTATCTCTCTCTGTGTGTGTACTTTATTTTCTTCTTTGACTAAGAAAATATATTTCTTTGAGTAATTAAAATTTTGTCTTGTTTGGACGTACCACATTTAGTAGAGTGTAGCTGCCATCACATGCAGGGATATGGTTGGTACTTAAGATAAACTTCTTTAAAATAGATTAGTATGCTATTTACTAAAAGAGTTTTGTTTTTCTGGGTGAACGTAGATGGCTTTTCCTGGCTCCACAGAATCAAGGTGGCAATTGATATTGCACATCTGCTCGAGTTTTTGCATTATCATCATAAACCACAATACCTAGTTCGCAATATTAGTTCTGCACATATAATGGTTGATCAGGTCAGATCTGGTGTCCATGTACTTAGTGCACTTAGCTTTTCAGTAATTTTGTTCTGGAGAATTTTTTAATAAGAATTAAACATGGTATTATGTTATGCTTAAACTCAGGATTACAATCCGGTACTATTCGACTTTTGTATGCTAGTTGGTGGGCTTTTTGGTGATGTGCAACCAATCGCACATAAGTTTGTGCTTGGAGCGCCAGGCTATACTGATCCGATGATTATAAATTTCGGTATGTCAACATAATATTGTATTTATAATCTTTTCCAAGCCTAGAGTTCATTACCTATGTCATCAGTGCATTTCTTAATTGCGAGTGCTTTTTTTCTTTTCTTTTTCCATCTACTATACAATGGTAAATAAATTGTGGGCAAACGAGGAATGTCAAGTGAAAATATCAACCCAAACAGATGAGTAAATCATTATGATTACTCATAAAAGCGTCCTTGACCTCTCTTGTTTTTTTGGGAATCCATGGTGCTTATTGTGGGAGGAAACTTGTGTTCAAAAAACTCTAATCCTAATATCATACTATTGTTATGTGGTTCGCTTTATGAATATGACATAGTATCAAAATTTCTCGTGTTGCAAACATGTATGAATCATAGTGGTGAAGATCGAAGTGACTTGATGGTGCAAAGGAATTGTAAAATCTCAAAATAAGTAATTAATTTCAATTCATTTTGGCTATGAAAGGTCATTTGCTGTTGATTGTGGAAGAGAGGTGGAAAAAAAGGAAAAATTATTGATGATGTTAAGCAAGAGAAAGAGAGAGCCCCTTGGTTGAGAGAGAGATGGTGGTTGTATTTTTGCTCTAATAAAAGATGGTCTTCTTCATTCTGGGTGCAACTTACTTATTGCATACAAGAATATTCTTTGACCTTGACATTTTCATCTCAATGTAATACTTCCATAAAGTTCGAGAGCCTATCCAATGAACGTATCGAAAGCAAATCCACATATTGGAGATCATATACAATAAATATGTAAAGATTATTTTACCTCTAATGGAGTATCAAATAGTTCATAGGACCACTTATGCTATCTATCTTACGGATGAAAGGATCTTCAAATCTAACAGAGCTAGAACGGTCCCTTCTGAAAAATACTTGAATAAAATTTTAATTTCCATATATCTCCACATTATTTTTTGGAGGTCCATATTAGTATAATTAAATTCATGTGCATATATAAATATACCTTGTAGAAGTCGAAATAAAATATTTGGTGGGCGGTGGGCCCCCAAGTTTTATCCGGGCCAAAGATGAACATAGGCTGAATTGATTTGTATAATTTGGTTTGGATATCTGACTATTTTGTGTCTATTAATATATGAAAGAGTTGGGATTTGGGGGCGGTCCACCCAAGTTTAAAATCCTTTTAAAGATCAAGTAAAAGAAACTAAGATAACCAATATAACCTAACTAATTCACTATTAGAGATAAATTGAACCCTCTACAGTCAGATGCTTCAATTGGAAGGACTACAGTGATTCGAACTTCTCTTGATGTGAGAAGTTCTAAATAATTGAACTGTATGCAATTTTTTTTGAAAATTTGAAGTCCTGCTGAACATTGGGACTTTGAGCAGAGAAATTAAAAAACAAAAAACTACAGCAAACACTTTCGTTTTTATCATAAGCTTTCTTAATTGCATGAGGTTTGTAGCCCTTTCATTGGACTTCCAAAACTTGTATACCTACCCTAGACACTGTGTCATTCCATATTGTTTCTGGTTGTTTGCGCTTCATGTTTTGTTTGTCTAATTCATTTTATTCCAATCTAGAGTACGACATCACATGATTGTTTACTTGACTCCAATTTGGTCTTTTTCTGAGATTTTAACTATTTTGAGGAATATTTGAAGTAATTAATTTATTAATGAAAAATATATCTATGTAATTAATTTTCTTCAAGCTGATTTTTTACTTTCTTGTTTCGTAATATAATAGTTTCTAATCTTTTGATCTCTTTATCTGATTTTGAGGTGTGGTTCCTCCTTTCTCTTGTGCTTTTTCTTGTGAACTCTCTTACTTATTATATAGAGGCCCTTTTGGTAACTCCCCTGCCAAAGTACCAAGTGCTAAAAACTGGAAACTTTCAGTGGTTATCTATCTAGTGTTTTGATAATGGACTGTGAGTTGTCTTTAAGAAAAATGTTTCCATTTAGAAAGTGATATAAATTTTCAAGGTCATAATCCACACTTAACAAGTTTTTTGATAGGTATTTTTTAAGTGAATTTGGATTTGCATGTTGATCCTTAACTTTGATTTCATCAAATTAAATTCCTAGTATAACTTAGCCCTGAAGTTTTTGTTACTTATCAAACAGCAGCTAAAGTAAATTAGAACACTTGCTATTTGGTATGAACAAGAGAATTGACAATTATTTTTTCAGTAGAGAATAAGGAATGTATGAAGTGATCATTCTTCCAATTGTATATGATTTATATGTTTATTGTTGTTATTGATATCGTTGTTATGATTTTTATGTTATTGTCAGTGTCAATTCCATTCTTGCTAGATTTTACATATTTTGAATGAATTGATTTTAGTTTCTAGAAAGATGAGAACCTTCAAATGGTACTCTTACTGTACGATTGTATCTTTTGCATGAAAAACTACCTTGATTGGGTGATTGTAGCCATTCATTTATTTATTTATTATAATTTATGTTGTAGTTGCTTTGTTTTTTAGCTTCTACTAGCTTTTTGTGTTTTGGCATATTTTCAGTTGTGTGATATATATATTTTTTTCGTTATTAAAAAAAAAAACCCTTCAGCAGGTAAATGGTGGAAGGTACACGACATCTTCTCGTTTGGCACTGTGCTTTTGGAGCTCATATCCAAAAGACCCTCTGAGATGAAGAAACCTGTACACTATTGGGCTGAAGCGCAATACAATTTGAACAAGCCCAAGAAATCATTATTTGGCTGCTTTGCCCTCTCAAAGAAGTTCTCTCTCGTGCACAAAAGCTTTGAAGAAGATTTGGGGTTTAGTCAACACGATGGATATAAAATTACTGATCTGGCAATGCGCAGTGTGGAAGGCAATGGCGTACGTCCATCAATGAAGGAAGTTGTTCAAACCTTGGCGAGGTTACATGCTGTTTGTCGTCACGGTCACCGGGTTTATTAATATGATGCTCTGTAGGTGAATAATGAAGGTGTTCTCTATTGCTAGAAAATTCAGTTACCTTGTTACAGTAATATACTGTTCTCCAAGCTCTAATGTCTTGATACTGGAAAACTCTTTTCATTTCAACAAGCTTTATGTTATATTTACCTACTTGAATCTAATTTTTCTTTCCCTATATGAGTGACTGATATTTATGTACTGTTTTCCTTCTAAATTATTCATTAAAAGTATAGTAGTTGTCCACTTTATTTATTTATAGGTTTTTAAAAAACTGAAAACCAGATAAGTTTGTGTATAGTATTCTGATTTTCGGTTCTTTAAAAATTAATAAGCCGAAAAAAAAGTCCTACCAAAATAGTACAGAAAATTTGATTACAGATTTTGATTTGATTTCTTATTTACAGATTTTGTTATTATTATTTTTATGGTACTTAGAAGACAACAAAAGAATAAACTAGTAATAAACTTAATTTTATTTAAGAGTAAATGATAGGGAGACCAAAATAATTTTATCTAACATGTTTTTGCTCAACTAATCTACTTAAATAATTTTTAAAAAATAATAACAAATGACAAGTATAGCCAATCATGTCAGATTCGGTGTTAATTCGGGCACATTTGCAACTTTTATAAGCATGGTGTGAGTATGAATTTTGAATTGAAACAAAGGTTTAATGATATTTATTTTATTTTTGAATTGGTGTTTAGAGTTCTTTGGTCTAGTGGGTTTATTGGGTAATAATCAAACAGGGAAATTAAACGGTTCAACTGCTTCCAGTGGGAAAGATCCTTGCAAAACGTGGAGCAATCCATATATGAAATTTTTTTCTCTCAAATTCCAGATTTTGATCAGATATTGTGGCTTTCAATCGTTTCTGCAGCCATGTCCTATACCACTCCGCATTGTGCTTTTAGTTTAAAATATTAATTTTGGTGATGGGACTGAAGAGAGGCATGAAAACTGATTTGGGGTTTCTTCATCATGGGAGAAGAGTGAGAAATTGTGGAAGACCAATAGCCCACAACTCGCACAAATCGTTGGCCAAAGGCGGATTTAGGAGTGGGCTTGAGTCTACCCAAAATAATAATAATAATAATAATAATAATAATAATAATTTACTAGAGTACTAATCCACCCCAGAATAGATTAGTCCACCCCATTATGTATTTCTGGATCCGTCCTTGTCAGTGGCCTATCAAATCCCGATCAAGGTTTAGGTTTAGGGGGAGGTTGCTGGCGTTGAGACGATCATCCTCTTCGGTCAGGTTTTCCGTTCACCTCTGTTCACGTTCTGCTATACACCGGTGAGATCATATAGATTATGCGAGGGTTTTGATTTCCCTTGAAGAATATCTTATTTGTAAGCCTCTACTTGAGCTAGAGAAGTATACTTGTAACCCCATTATTTTTCGTAGTAGAATTATTTTTCAAAGTTGGCCCATGATTTTTTTCACCCTTCAATTTGAGGGTGTTTCCACGTATATTCTAGTGTTTATTGTGTGATTGATTTTATTTATTGCTCTATATTTGTTAATCTTAGAAGTTTGCACAGTGAGGGAAAAGTTTCAGTTTTGTGTATTTCATATTTGGCTTTGGTATTGTGTTTGTTACATTGCCCTATTATATATATTTTTCCCCAACAAAGTGGTATCAGAGCCTTAGTCGGCAAATTTGGTTTGTGCAGACATGGAGGTTAACATGAGTAGAATGATCAGTTTGATTGGTAGCAATTGGCAATTGTGGAAAGGAAAAATGGATAATCTTCTTTATTGTAAAAAGTATCATGCTCCTATTTCAAGGTGAATTGGCAAAGCCAGCGGATACAAATAAATTAGATTGAGATTTGTTGAACAGACAGGTTGTTAGGTATATACGCCAATGGGTGAATGATAGTGTTTACCATCACATATCTAATGAGACCTTTACACACTCTTTTTGGGAGAAATTAGAGAAGCTATAAGAGATAAAAACTGCTGCAAATAAAGCTTTCCTAATGAGGAAACTTATGAACCTAAAGTACAAAGAGTGGATTCAAATTGTAGAGCACTTGAATGATTTGCAGAACATTGTTAATCAGATTTATTCTATGAAGTTTCCTCTTTATGATGAGTTGCGGGCCTTGTCACTTCTCAGTTCTTTACTAGACAGTTGGGAAGACACTTGTAGTATCTCTAAGGTACTCAGCCCCAGATGGGATTGTTTCAATAAGTGTGGTTAATTGTAACCTATTAAATGAAGAAATAATAAGGAAAGCCTTAAGGTTCTTCATCCACACAATCAGTGGCTCTTGTTACAGAGTAGCGGGGTAGAAGTCAGAGTAAAGGTCACAATAATTATGGCAAGTCAAGGAGCAAGTCCAAGAACAAGAAGGACATTCAGTGCTATCATTAAGAAGATGGGCCACATGAAAAAGGATTGCAGAAAATTAAAGAAGGAATAATAAAAAGAAAAACGAGACAAAAAGGTAGAAAATCAAGAAACTGTTGTAGCCACTTCTGAAGACATACTTGTTATTTGTGATGAAGATGCTGTCAATTTCACTTTTCAAGATGCTAGTTGGGTAGGTGACAGTGGTGCCTTGTGATACCCCTGGATTTCCAGATGCGGGTTGGCCAGGCCCACGCCCGACTACCCGAGGATATCAAACCAATTAGTAATAAATGAACACAGAATACAATTAGGATAAACAGGAATAAATAAAATTTGCTGAAAAGAAACTAGAAAGATAATCCCAAAAACTGAAACCTCAGAATAAATTTTATAAATAAAGAATTATTCTGATACATCCGACTTCTCCATTTTTAATACAACTCGGGAATCCATCTGATGGACCCCTAATAAACTCCAACACTGGAAAAATAACAACTGAAGAACCCAATGCTAAACCATGAAGAAAACTCCTACATCGTCAGAAGAATGAGTAACCGTCTCTGCTCAGCACGAACAAGCTCTACAACCTGGAACCGTCCATTATCTAAAAAATAATAGTGGGTCAGGCCCACGAACAAGTTCTAATCTAACTGCAATCTATACAGAGAACCGATACGCAGATACACCCTAGATACCTCATAATACCTATTTAGTCCATAAGTATATATATATCCACACTAAGGACATTCACTGGACTACAATAGGGGTCTCAACCTGAATAGAAGTCATCATGCGAAAACGGACCCAAAGGTGGGCATGAGTACCTGGACCTAACAGGGTATACCTCAACCTACTATAGCCAGTTACGCATCCACTGCATATATGCACCCTAACCAACGATCCTGAGAATCAAACTCATATCGCAGTACCATAATTTATAGATATAAATTCCCATCCAAACCAATGTAGTGCCGCTCAACTGTTCGTTGCCATGACACGACATAAAATTAGGATTTAAATGTTTTAATTAAATTCCTATCCTTCCTATTAACAGAAAATATAAACAACCATCCAATATGTCGTTCAACTGTTTCAGTTGACAGGGCATGAAACCATGTAGGATTTAACTGTTTTAGTTAATCCATTCCGTATGTATGAATGGGTTGGAATTAACGTTGTGATCTAATTCGTCCCTTCGTATGTCACCGTCCCATACCGGTACATACCATGCATATGATTCGTAAAAGATGCAACATTTTAAGCAGTACATCAAACAGTATCCACCTAATCCAAGTAGTTAATAAATGCAGAATTTAAACCATTCATCAACATCCAATCCAGAATCCATTCACATAACTTAACGAGACTAAGTTTAATAGTTCATCAAATTAAAGTCCAGCATCCATCCAGTTAATTGAAAGAGAATACATAATTAATTCTTCAATTAATTCCAGGCCATCACCCAATTAGATTGACAAGACCCAAGTATCAGTTTAACAATTTAGGTAACCCAAGTATTTGCATAATAGTGCTTAATATTACTGCAGTTACAATCCCAGCTTAAATCCATGTATTGCAAAACAAAATTAGCATTTCAGCAGTTAACATCCAAGGTATGCCTAGAGTAAACTTGATAACTAACTGACCCTAGCATGCAACCAAAAATAAGATTTATAACCATACTAGATCCCACCGGATTGCTAAAATAAAACTTAGGCAATTTAAGTTTTCTTCCATCCATTAGCCGTATAAAAAAAAAATGTATAAATTTTATACGGTTTGTTCCATTAATTTAGGGGTAAACCTTGATCAATTCAAGTCCTATTAACACCTAAAATTAACTTCTTAATCATTCTGAGTAGTCCTAGAATTTTTCCAGAATAGTTCAGTTCCACCCGTCCGTTAACAGTATGTTAAATTGTATAGTTTTATACTGTCCATCCTTTAGTGTAGAGACATAAATTATGCAACAAGAGGCTTTAACCACACTTAAAATTAGTATTAAGAACCCCAGTATGCTCACCACACAGTCCAGACCAAATTAAAAACATCCAAACATCACCTAAAACTTCATAAAATCAATCTTCGTGAAAGACTACTCCAAAACCAAAAAGGAGAGGCTCCAAAACAAAAGGAGAAGGCTCTAAAAAAATAGAGCAGGCTCTAAAATAAAAGGAGAATGCTCTAAAGCAAAAAGGAGAAGGCTCCAAAAAAAAGGATAAGGCTCTAAAATAGAAGAGAAGGCTCTAAACGAAGGAGAAGGCTCCAAAAAACAAAAGAGAAGGCTCCAATAATTCTTAGAGCCATTTCCAAGAGGGGAGAGCCAGCTCTACCTTTCCTAAAGCCGGCTCTATAATGGGGGGGGGGGGGGGGGAGCCGGTTCCCTCCTTCTGGAGCCGGCTCTCTCTCTTTTTGAGAGCCGTCCACGATTCTGTGAATTCTACGACCTTCGTCCACGACTCCGGCTGCTTCTAACCCTCTCTGTTTATTTTAAACCTGAACCTAGATGTCCCAAGTATGTCCAGTATCATCTAGATTCATTATTCATACCGAATTGCATTACTAAAATCCTTTAACATTTACCGATTATAACATGCTAATGAAAACTACTATTGTAACCAAACCTTCAAAAATCATCACAGAACTAATTCAAGACAAAGATATGATTAATTTGACATATAAAAACATGCACAATTCAGTTATTGATCCATTAAAACCCTAGAGCATACCTAGGTGCACAGAACACGAGCCAAAGGGAAGGAGGAAGAAAAGAACTTGCCTATGATTTCAGTTGCAACCTCGGC